AAACTACCCTATATCTAGTAAATACTAGAGCATTCGCCAAGGTACAGGATAGTTCTAGAAAATAGGTGGCGCCACACCAGTCACGTGACCTCGATGACGCAACATTATATTAGATTCATCAGTTACTGATGATAAAATTTGGGAATTCTAGAATGTCTGAAAGTTAAATACGTCATTTAGAACAAAACAAAAAATAAATCTAAAACCGTAGGTAGTGAGTGTAAAATCAGTTTATCCTGGTTTCTCTGTCATTTCCTTGTTGTTTAAATTACATAAACTTGATAAAACCGTAGGTAGTGAGTGTAAAATCAGTTTATCCTGGTTTCTCTGTCATCTCCTTGTTGTTTAAATTACATAAACTTGATAAAACCGTAGGTAGTGAGTGTAAAATCAGTTTATCCTGGTTTCTCTGTCATCTCCTTGTTGTTTAAATTACATAAACTTGAAAAGCGCGTATGTGTGAAGAATTCTTGGTGAATAGGAAATGTTCACGTATCTGACCTGGGAAGAAAAAGAAACATCTTGAATACTACACTATTTCCACTAGAAATGTCTACGTATTAATTAAAAAGGAATCAGTAGAATTATATTTGTAGTATGTCATTTAGAATGAAAAGAACAGCAAACATAATGACCTTATTTCACTCATTCAGTCCAATTTTGTTGTGATCTACGTGTTTTATCAGCGATAATTTGCCGTTAGGTTTATACCTTCTAATGAAGTTACAAACCTGTCGTAGTTCAAATTCATATGGTCGGCCGTCAGTGATAAGCAGTGATGTCAACACAACCTTCATGCCTGGGCTAACGACAGGTAAACAAGGCATGAAGTAGGAACATAGGAAGGAGATCTTCATGTGGGCTAACGACAGGTAAACAATTATGAAGATCTCCTTCCTATGTTCTTACTTCATGCTCTGTTTATCTGTCAGTAGCCCAGATAAAGATCTCCTTCCTATGTTCCTACTTCATGCTTTGTTTACCTGTCGTTAACCCACATGAAGATCTCCTTCCTATGTTCCTACTTCATGCTTTGTTTATCTGTCGTTAGCCCACATGAAGATCTCCTTCCTATGTTCCTACTTCATGCTTTGTTTACCTGTCGTTAGCCCACATGAAGATCTCCTTTCTATGTTCCTACTTCATGCTTTGTTTACCTGTCGTTAGCCCACATGAAGATCTCCTTCCTATGTTCCTACTTCATGCCTTGTTTACCTATCGGTAGCCCACATGAAGATCTCCTTCCTATGTTCCTACTTCATGCTTTGTTTACCTGTCGTTAGCCCACATGAAGATCTCCT